ACACACACACACATATATATATAAAAAATTGTCTTTGATTTTTTTAAAATCCGCAATTACTTAGTTGCCGACCCAATATAAATATATAAATATAAATATATATATATATATATAAGTGTATATATATATATATATGTGTGTGTGTGTGTGTGTGCGTGTGTGTGTGTGTGTGTGTGTGTGTAAACCCTAATGCCATTGCTTTGTAAACATGGTACCAAGTGCCAGAAAATGCTAAGTGCTCCCCACGAATTAATATACTTGGTCCCCCTGCCCCTGTGAGTCGCAGATGAGGACACGAAGGGCAGGGAGAGTGTGGACTGGGCCCGAGGTCACTGGTTAACTGGAGGTGGATCTGGGACTTGGCCTCTGCAGCTTACCCCCCCCCCCACACACACACCCCTCTCCTCCTCTCCCCAAACAGACACCTACACACGTACCAGAGGGACTAACGCTGGGGCCCTGAGTGCAGGCCGCCCTCCTCCTCCCCCACCCCCCCCACCCCCCTCCATGCTCAGCCTCCCCCTGCACTGAGGCTTTGGCCTAAAGGCTCAGGCTTCCTCTTCTTCCTCCCAAGTTCTGGGGCCCTGAAGCCAGGTGGTTTTAGCCCATCCCCCACCCCAAACCGGAGGGTCAGACACACACACACACACACACACACACACACACACACAGCTCCCTCTGCAGTTCCGCTGAAGGGCTCAAACTCCCGAACAGTCCTCGCTGCTCCTGGGGCCTGGCCGCAGCACCGGAGGGCTGAGCGTCCCTCTCCCCCTGCCATGCCCTGTGGCACAGGATGCCGGCTTGTCTCCATCCACTGGTGGCAGCAAAGCCCTCTGCTGCCCCCACCCCAACCCGGACCACCCTGCACAGCCCTTCAGGGCCCCTGTGTGGGTCACTGGATTTCTCCCCTGGTCAATCTGCAAGGAAAACATCATGGCTCAGCAATGCAGGGAAGAGGGCTGTACCCCAGTCAGTGCCTGCAGCCCCCTGGTGCAGGGACCAGGGATGCTGTAGGGACACTGTAGGGACCACCTCGCTGGAAAGCTGAGCCAGCCTCCTCACACCCACCCTCTACCCTCTGCCCTCTGCCCTCATGGAGATGACCTGAGGGTCACGATGGGTCCCAGGGCTTGGTCCCTCCCCATCTCCCTCTTCTCTGAGTGAACTGCCCTCTTCTCTGTGGTCCACAGGTACTCTCTGCCGTCAAAGTCTAACTGCCCCTCCCCCCTCCTACTCCCCCGCCCCTCCCCGCCCCCCCGCCAAAATCACCTGGAGGGCTTTGGAAGAGGCAGGCCGGGCCGGGCAGCGTCCCTCCGCACCTCTGAGGATCTAGTGAGGCCCGGGCGTCTACACCTGAAACAAGTCAGTAGGTGACTCTGACCAGCAGTCAATGGCGAACAGGAGGGGTGGGGATTGCGGGCTTTGGCCTCCGCTGAATCCTAGCTCCATCCCCAGCCAGCTCAGGGTCCGGAGCAAGCTGCCAATGCTCTCCGGTGTGCTCCACAGTGAGATGAAGGCGACACAGTGATAGCACTAAGTCATAAAGTGCTGGTGACGCCCGGCCAGTGCGGCTCAGTGGTTGAGCATCAACCTGTGAACCAGGAGGTCACCAGTTCCATTCCTGGTCAGGACTCCCTCCCCAGTAGGGGGCGTGCAGGAGGCAGCCAACCTGAAGGGCTGTGCAGGGTGGCATGGGGTGGGGTGGGGGCAGCAGAGGGCTTTGCTGCCACCAGTGGATGGAGACAAGCCGGCATCCTGTGCCACAGGGCATGGCAGGGGGAGAGGGAAGCTCGTCGAGGCTTCTATCTCTCTATCTGTGTCCCTACCTTCCTAAAAAAAACCAATAAAAACATTTTTAAAAAATAACAAGTGAAGTGCAGTGACAGTCACATGATGTCAGGTGCGTAGCACAGTGTCAGGCACACACCCCCTCAGCGGCTCTCAACAAGCCCCTCGGCTTCCGGGAGCAGAGACGCAGCCCTCTTTCTTCTCCGACAGCTGCAAGGGAGCAACAGCGGATTTAAGTAAAACGTGAGTTCTCTCCTCGGAGGCCTAAAAGCTCAGCTGGGGCTCCTGGGGGCCTGGGACACCCCAGGGCAGCCCCAGGCGCAGCCTGTGGAGGAGGAGCGGGCTGGGGCAGCCCCTCCTTTTGCGCCCTCTGTCCCTCTCAGCCACCGCGCCAAGGCTGATCCCCCAGGCAAGAGGCAGGAGGGACGCAGATCATCATCCCCTCTAGAGCCCAGAAACAGGCTCCAGCGGCCAAGGTCATGGGCCCAGAGCAGAGCAGAGCCGGCAGACAGGCTGGCTTCCTCTGGGCCCCGCTGGCCCGGGTGGGGGTAGTGCCAGGCCAGGCGTACGGGAGCGGAGGCCCTGCTCCCCACACCACGGCTTCTTCCTCAGCTCCCAGAGCACGGGTCCCCGTGAGGGAAGCCGACCCCTGCCTCTGACCCACACTGTCTCACCAGGTGGCCCCACCGGGGGGGGGGGGGGCTCCCCTTTCCAGCCCAGAGAGGCAGCAGAGGCTGGGGGACTCTGCTGTGGCTCACGGGGAGGAAAGGGGCACCGACATCTCTGCCAGAGGCAGCCAGGCTGCAAATCCAACCTGACACTGAGACACAGCTTCGAGGATTAGCCCTGGAGATTAGCAGAAACCTCCCCAGAAATCTGCCCTCCGGGCGCCCCCGTCTGGGGGGTCCTGTCACACAGCGGGTGGGGTGGGGTGGGGCAGAGGGTGGGCAGAGGAGGAAAGCCCAGCCCCTCAGAGAATGGCGTCTGGTCCAAGGTGGCCCTCGGCCTCGCTCAGAGGCCCATCGAGGTCTGCCTGCAGCCATCATAGTCAAGATCTGCTTACCTGCTCAGCAGCTAACATCCGGCACCAGAATGTCTGCCTGTGCAGGTGAGTCCCACTGAGGGGCCATCAAGCCAGAGGCGAAGATGCTTACAGCTTACGCAGGGGGCACCTCCAGGGGACACCTTCCCTCCGCCACGCTGCCTCTGCCTGCAGCAAGCATGTCAAACTCAAAGGCCAACACGTGTGGCCCACAGACCCGGAGTCTGACATGCTTGGCCTCCAGAGGGACAGGCCCAGCGCACTTTCAGACCCTGGACTTGGAAGCGTGGGGCCGAGCAGAGGTTAGCCAACCAGGCCAAAGCCCCCGGGAAAAGGGGAAGGTGGGTTAAGGAAAGAAGGGGAAATAGGGTCCCAGGGCCCCCAGCCCAGCTGAACCAGGGCAGCTCTGCTGAGATTGGCCTGTGTGGGAACTCAGTCCACAAACAGGACAAGACACCGCACTGCTCCTTTCTCACTCCAGCCCGGCCCCTCCCCTCAGGGCAGGCCCTTCCCCTCAGGTGGCCCACGTGCCTCTGGGGAGGGGCCTCTGGCCCTGTGGTCACCTGCCCAGGGCCCCTCCCGCTTCCCAGGCCTGCCAGAGTGAGGCTCTGCCCTGCCCTCTGCCAGGGCCCCGCCGGAGCAGGACGGACGCCTGCCCGCCCCTGCCTTCTCTGCCAGGGCCCCGCAGTTCTCCTCCAAGGGCTTGGACGCTGAGAATGGACACGGAATTTAGAAAAAGACAGTCCCCAGCCCTACACGTGTGGGCTCCGATCCATATCCCTCCTCCAGACACTAAGATTTATTTATTTCCTCAGAGAGTGCCATAGCTTTGCAAGGGGAAAGGGAAACACCCAGCCCGAGACAAGCTGAAGGGGGAGTTTCAGGGGCGGGAGATGCTGGGTGGGGGACATCCCTCCCCACTCCCACCCCGGCAGCTGCTGGGTGAGGTGGGCAGAGGTGCCAGGCAGGAGGTGCCCTGGGAGCAGCTGGGCATCCGCCAGGGCTGGCACCACTCGCCCTGTCCAGGCCCGGAGGAGCTGCTGAGAGCTAGCATCATCCTTCCGTCTGTGCTCTCTGTCTGCACGGCCACCGTAAAGGGAACGCGCTCCCACTGCCGCCGGGAAATAAAGGCCCGGAAAACGCTGAGAAAGGAGTCCAGTTCCGACACCACCAAGCTCCCGGGAATGTCTGTGACGAAGGCCGCCAGCCCCCGCATGGACAGCGGTGCCTCGGGGGCCTGGAGGAGCCGGTCTGTTCTGGGCGGCACGGCAGGCTGTCCGAGAGAGAACAGAGTCCCTCTGTCTCTCCCCCATCCTCCCCTTCCACACACCCCAGGAGCGCTCTCCCAGCGCTGGCCTTGGAGAATCACTCCCAAAGGCTGCCTTTCTTCCCCCAAACTGCCTAGCCCCAAAGGATCCTAAGGAGAGGGCGCGAGATCTGGTCTCTGGGTGGGGTAAGTCCTCGAGTTCATCCCGTTTCTCTCTGACCTTTAACCCTCAGCCACCCTCAGCCACCCCCACACCTCCAACACATAGACAAACCCCGGGCTCACCAGCCAGCATGCAAAACCTCCTCCCGGGAAGAGCAGGCACGTCCAAGGCCAAGGCCCTGCTCTCCATGGACATTGTGGGCAGGAGGCTCGGAAGCCTCTGGTCCACATGTGTCAAACACAAGGCCCGCGGGCCAAATCCGTCCCGCCAGGCCTTGCAATGTGGCCCGCACTGCGCTGTCATCACTGCACTCCGCTGCGTTTCCATCACAATGACAGTTTATGACTGTTCAGTAAACCATTCGGCCCGCGATTTAGGCTGGATTTTAGATTTTGGCCCCTTCTCTGATTGAGTTCGACACCCCTACTCTAGTCCAAGCCTCTGGACCGGGGAGACCTGCACTCTGGCTGACCTGAGCCCACCTCGCACCAGCCATCCTGGCCGGTGTGTCAGAGGGAGTCTAGATGTTTCCTAAGCATCAGACAAGAGGCCGGACCCAGGCTTGGCCTGGCCCCCTCCCAGGCCCTGGGGCCTAAGGAAAAAAGGAATGAACTACCTTCCGAGGTCAAATGCCCGCTTCTACCCTGTTCCCCAACCCCAGCCATGCCCAACCTCCCTCACCACGTCTTCCAGATCCGCGTACAGCTGTGCCATGATACATCAATGTCTCCGCACGGAGCCATGTTTACTCAATGTATTTATTGAAAACACCGCCACGATAAATAGAATGCCGGTACCCCCTGCCACACAGAAGAGGCAGCCAGTAAAAACAGGGCCGTGGACATCGGGAAACGTTTCCCACCTGCCCCAAGCCCAGGGCCTGGTCCTCGTTCCAGGGGAAGTCCGCTCGGGTTCCAGAGGCCTGAGAACATATCGGCACCCACCACGCCAGGACCAAATCCTTGGCATCAGAGGGTTGCAGGAGGATGGGGAGGGAATCCTGTTCTTGCTCGTTGTGCTTATGCAGGCCCGATACTACAGGGAAACCTCTCGGGGGAATGAGGGTATCCACCGGACACGCTGGGACGACGGGACTGGAGCTTCCCTCAGCCTCATGCTTAACACCATGTGGAAACCGCGTTCTCTGAGCACACCCGCCAGGTGCCGCCAGGCCCCCCTCCTCCGAGCCTGTCCTCACCCCGAGGCCCGCGCCTGCCCCAGCGGGGTCACCGCTGACTCAGGTGGGACACCAGGTAGACGAGGCCCACCAGCAGCAGCCCGCGCACGCCCAGCATCATGAGCAGGAAGAGCAGCAGGATGGAGGTCACCGGCTCCACGGCGTGGTTGCCGAAATGCCACTGGGGGAAGCCCATGTTCACCAGCTGCCGGTTGAGGTCGCTGAAGGGGGACTGAGCGGCGGCGCCCAGCCTGGCTCCCCCTTGCGGCTGCCGGAGGCCGGGACCCCCCAGCGGAGCCCCGTGGCCCCGATGGAGGAAGCTCTGGAAGGTGGAGACAAGAGAAAAGGGAGTCAATCCAGAGAACGCTTCCCTGGAGGTGAGGACCGGGCAGCAGGGAACCCTGTGGGCAGGGCCCTGCCCTCCTCTCATCACCCCAGGCCATGCCCTCCTTTCTCAGCAATCCCCATTGCCACCCACAGGAATTCCAGAGCCCGAGTCACAAGCTCTGGGGGCACAGAAACTGCATTCCCCACGTGGTGCCAGGAAGAAGGTGCCCGGGACAGAGGACAGGGAAAGGGTCACGGCGGTGAGACCCCCGGGGCCGAGCAGGCAGGCAGGCATGGCTATCACTCCTCCCTCTGCCTCTGCAGTCAGCATGGGGTGGTCGCAGGCTCTTCTCCTCCCCTTACTCTCCAGTTTCTCTCCCATCCAACAGCCTCTCAAGAAAGCTGCTGGCTCCCGTGGAGTTTGCTAAGCAGCTAAAGAAGGGAGAGCTCCTGGGTTTGCAGTCTGGGAGGGCTGCCAGGAGGAGGGAGAGCGAGGGGGGCGAGAGGCTGGGGTCTCCTGCGGGTCTTCACCCAGTTTTGACCACCCCCCCCTCCCCATCCAGCTCAGCTCTCTGCAAAGAGAACGTCAGGTCCGGGGCGAATGACCAGCAAGCGAAGGCGTGCTTGGTCCAGGAGACACAGGAGAGCTGCTCCCCCCACCCCACGGGCGAAGCACCCACCGGCCGAGGGGCGCTGCTGCGGGCTGGGGCGGCGGTCCTCACGCGGGGGTCGTCGTCCTGCACGATCTCCCCATTGGCCAAGATCCGCACCATCCTCCCGGGAGAGCTGGTCCCTGCGGGGCTGCTCCTCTCCTCAGACCTCAAAAACAAAACAAACAAAACACCAGTGCACCAGAGATAAAGAGATAAAGAGATGCTCGCTTTCAATGGGAGAAGCTGCAATTCTGGGGGCTCACATCGGCGGCCCATCCTAAGCCGGCACTGCGTCGATTAGTAAAAAGGAGGAGAGAAATGGCCGAAACCCGGTTTGGGTCAGTGGATAGAGCGTCAGCCTATGGACCGAAGGGTCCCAGGTTTGATTCCGGTCAAGGACATGTAGCTTGGTTGTGGGCACATCCCCAGTGGGGGTTGTGCAAGAGGCAGCTGATCAATGATGCCCTCTCATCAATGTTTCTAGCTCTCTCTTCCTCTCTGTAAAAAATCAATAAAATATATATATATATTTTTTTTTTTTAAAAAAGGGGGAGAAATGAATGCAAGTTATTTGCTGGAGGGAAGCCTTGCAGATATTGAGTGCAGTGGGGAAACAATTAGAAGGATCCTTGGAGAAAGAGGTTGAATTATTACCCACCGGCAGCTACAGTGGGACGAGACCCTCCCTGCGGCGCAGGCACTGTGGCAGGTCCGCAGAGGCTGGTCTCACCCCCCCTCAGCCCCTGGGGCAGGGCCGATAAAGACGTGACTGGCTGGCCCCAGAGCATCCGTCCACGGGCAGCAGAGAAAGAACTGAAGACCTTCTCTGGGGACTAGAGAAGGAGTGCAGGGCCCCACAGTGCCCAGGCTCTCCACTTCCTTCTGTCCAAACCCTGCTCCACGGTGCCGTTCTTTAGCAGGTACAAGCCAAGGACCCGGGCTTTCCTCCCAGGAGGTCCCGGGTCACCTCAGAGCCTCTCCAGCTGCTCTGCCCGGCAGCAGAGGGCACTGGCGGCCACAGAGCTGGGAGGAGGAACAGACCTGCGGAGGAGGGCACGCCCCTCACCTGTCCCACATCTCAGGGAGCACCAGTCCCTCCTCTGCTAGCAGGAGGGCAGGGCCTGCCTTCCTGAAAATGGGGGTGGGGTTGGGGGGGGTGTGCTTCTGTGGCTCTGGGAGAACCCCATTCCGCAGATCCCAAGGGTATCCCACCAGCTGGAGGTGGGGGTGGGGATCCTTCCAAGCTTCTTCCTAGTCTGTGTGTAAAGGCCATTTTTTCCTCCTAAGGAGCTGAGCCACAGTTTTCTTTTAAATTCTCAAAAGCACTGGTGACAGGCCAAAAAGGGTTAATAGCGCCCGTCTCTTGCCCGCGGTCTGGCCCCTGCAGGCGGCCAAGGGGGGTCCCAGCCCCCACAGCCCCTCTGTGCTTGCTTATCCGACCCCCTGCGTGGGCTGCAGGCGTGGCTGCCCGCCCCCGGTGCACCTCACCCTACCGATGGGGGAAGTGGTGCTCCCGGGACAGGAAGGGCCCTGCCCGAGCTGCAGATTCTAGCTCTGAACCTGGGCCCGCGGCAGGGGAGGGATGCGCCCCAGCGCCCCGACACCCACCTGCAGGTCCACTGGCCGTGGCTTCCAGGCCGCTTCCTCCCACCTGACCCGCAGGAAGAGCCGCCTACGCGGCCCAGCGGGTGAGGCAGCGCCTCTGCCGGCCGCCGGGGGAACTGCAGCTGCGGCTGGCAGCCAGAGGTGCCGGGCGCGGGAGGAGGGAGAAAGGGGGCGGGGAGGAGAGGGGAGGTCCAGAGGGGAGGGAAGAAGGAGGAAGAAAGATTGTGGAGAGGAGACGGACTAGTTTGCAGGAAGGAGAGGAAGGAGGAGGGAGAAGAAGAGGAAAGGGAAGTGGAGCTCCCAGAGGAGAAACCCAGAGGCTGGGGCGCCCCTGGTCTGGGCGGAGAGGTGGGCACAGGCTCAGGACACCCGGATAGGTTTGCTGAGCTTTGGATGCCCCTTGAGTAAGGCCTGGCCCTGCCCTGGAGAAGCTCCCACTCCCCAACTCTGGAGAGGAAGAAATGGTCTGACCGCAGAGCAGGTGTGACTAGCTGCAGGGGGGCGTCCTGAAGGAGGCGGCTTTGGAGTTGGCACCGGAAGGGTAGGCAGGAGTTTGCCTGTGGGGCTAAGAGGGAAAGGCACTCCTGGCAAAGCGAACCACCTGGCCCAGGATCGGGGCAATCCGCCTGCGCCTCCTTCCTGCTGTTCTCACTCCCGCCCTCTCCCCTGATTTCACAAGCTGCTCCCCAGGGACCTGGCCGCCAGTGGGAGAGAGTGCGCTCTGCAGGCCCACAATGTGGGTTCGGGTTCTGGACCCGGGCAAACCACGGAGCTGCTCAGTGCCCGCCTCTGCCAAATGGATCTATTCCCAGCCTCACCTCCTAGGATTGTGTGGATTGTGAGTCCCTGGCACACAGCAAGAGCTGAGAAGCGTTAGTAGTTTTTAAATTTTTTTAATTTTTCAATTAGAGCTCATATTCAATATTATATTAGTTTCTGGAGAACAGCCTAGTGGTTAGACATTTATATAACTTATCAAATGATCCCCCGATAATGTCTAGTACCCCCAAAACCATACATAGTTATTATTGTACAATGCTATTGATTATAGTCCCAGTGCTGTACTTTACATCATCCCCATGGCTGATTTGTAGCTACCAATTTATATTTCTTCATCACCTCACTATTTCACCCAGCCCCCCAGCCCCCTCCCACTTGGCAATCATCATTTTCTTCTCTGTATCTATGAGTTTGTTTCTGTTTTATTTCGTTTTTTATATTCCACATATAAGTGAAATCATATGGTACTTGTCTTTCTCTGGCTCATACCCTCTAAGTCCGTCCATGCTGTCACAAATGGTAAAATTTCATTTTTATGGCCGAGTAATAGTCCACTGTATACATGTACCGCATCTTCCGTGATTATCCATCAGTGGGTATTTCTGGGAGTAGGTGGGTATTTACTGAGCATACATTAGGACCCAGATGCCTGCTAGCTCCTAGGTGAGGGGAACAGAAAGAAGAATGAGACTTAACTTTCCTCAAAGATCTCATCATCTGCCACCATGGTTTCATTATTTGATTATGAAGCCTTTTAAATAAAAAACGTTGAGCAGATCCCCTGATATCTGTATCTTATTGGTGTATTATTTATTTGTTTATAAATCATACAGGTGTACTGTGAGCACAGATTGGCACTGTGAATAAAAGGTGGCTGCTAGAGTCAGCCTGGATGTGGATCTTGGGAGAGCTGCTCTCTAGTGGTGTGATGTTTGACCAGTTATTCAACCTCTTGACCTCAGTTTTCTCATCCGTAAAATGGGGATAATTACAGTACCCATCTTGCCTAAACTGGTTTGGCTCAGTGGATACAGTGTTGGCCTGAGGACTGAAGGGTCCCAAGTTCGATTCCAGTCAAGGGCATGTACTTTGGTTGCAGGCACATCCCCAGTGGGGGATGTGCAGGAGGCAGTTGATCGATGTTTCTCTCTTATCAATGTTTCTAGCTCTCTATCTCTCTCCCTTCCTCTCTGTAAAAAATTAATAAAATATATTAAAAAAAACAAACAAATAAACAAATCAGGACCCATCTTATCAGGTTTTTGTGAAGCACTAAGCTTTACTTTGGGTAGTGTTTAAAAGAGCAAATTACAAAAGAAGAGAACCAAGTAGCCAATAAACTTTGGAAAAAGTGCTCAGCATCATGAGCAATCAGGGAGAGAGGAACTAAAACCACTGAGGCTGCCACACCCTCATCAAGTAGACTCGATAAGAAGTCTGACGACACCAAGTCTTGGTGATGGGCAGTGGTGAGAATTCCCACCCACAGCTGGTGTGTGTGTGTAAATGGATGCAACCACTGTGGAGAACCACTGGCGATTTCCTAGGAAAGGTAAACATGTGCATTCTTTAAGACCCAGGACACAAATGTGGATGGTCATACACACCAGGTCATGTACACAAGCATTTTTCATATTAGAAACTGGAAAAACAATTTAAACGTCCACCAAACTAAAATGGATAAGTAAATTGTGGTAGACCCTACACATAGAATGCTACACAGTAAAAAAAAAAAAAAAAAAAAAAGACCATGAATTCTAACTGCATGCAATACCATAGTTAATCCTAAATTACTATATCGAACTAAAGAAACTAGAAGCAAAAATCTTAGTGCATAGTTTGAGTTACAGAAACATCAACAGGCGGTGAAATTGAATTTTATTGTTTAGGGATATATCCTTGGGTGGTAAAAGTATACTCGCAAGAAGAAGCAAAGAAATTATTACCAAATGTTTAGTGATTAGTTTTGGGGGAGAGGGAGGAATTGTGCAAGGGGCATGCACACGGTAATCAGGGAGGCCAGGAGGTGCTGGCAGCATTTGGTTGCTTCACCTGGTTGGTGGTTTCGTGGATGTTTATAACAATTTGTTAAATCGAAGGGGGACAGAACTGAGGAAGGAGTCACTTTATCCAGGTGGTGGTCAAACAGGCCTGTGCTTTCCTCAGAGGCTGTGACGACTGGGACACACGCCTCTCCCAGGACTGCTTCTGTGAGGAAGACACGCTGCCTGCCGTGGTAGGAAACACAAGGAGAGTGTGAAAGACTGCCCTCAGGTGCAGAGGCTGATGGGCATGTCAGCAAGGGGAGGTGCCTCCTACTCTTTTCTCTGCTCCGCCTCCCTCAGGGGCACTGATCCCGGAGTCTTCGGGGTCCTCCCTGCCCTGGGGTGATGCCTGGCTAGGGATTAAGTGTATGGCCTCCGGACAGACTGACTTGGATTTGAATTCTCTGGCTCTGCTACCTCCTTCTTGCTGTGTGACCTTGTACAATGTGCTTAACCTCTCTGTGCCTTGATCGTCTTACCTGGGATTATAATGCTACCTAATGTAAAATCAATAGCACTTAAACATGCAGTAAACTGTACAGGAGCTTTGTTAGGTAAATAAACATTCATACGTTCATTCAACATGATAGTCCTTGTGAGCTTGTGTTAGGCTGGGCCCTTCAATCCGCCCTCACAGGCAGGGGGACGACTTGGGCCATGGTACACACAAAGCTCTCAGAACTGGGGCTTCACCTTGGAGTCAATGTGACTGCTTTCCACTAAAACCCAGGTCAGATTGCGAGCCGGGCCAGGCTGAGCCCACTGGCTGGCAGGGCCTCCCAGGCTGGGCATTCCTGCAGGGCCAGGAAGCCAGCAGGCCGTCCTGCTGCCTGTTTCCCCGGGGCTGTGGGGCACCCGCACCCAGGCGGCCCCTCCTCCTTCGGGGCTCAGCAGAGCGGAGGGAGGTCAGACTGTGAGAAAAGAGGAGCGGGGAGCATGGAGGAGCTGGGGGTCCCGGACGCCTTTTATCCCCTCCATGGAAGGAAGGAGCAGAAACAGAAGTGTGGGGGTGGGGTGAGCCAAAAGCAGAGAATGAGGCCAGTCCAGCCAAGTGCTTTTTGTGGGTCTTAATTAAGCCTGGAGGCCCCATTGTTCCTTTCAGAGGGAAACATATGTTCAGGGCCAGGCTGAGGTATGGGACTGAAATTTCAATGGTGCTGGGTCCTGCGGTCGGTAGGCCAGGGGGGGTTGGGGGGCTGGGTAGGCGGTGTAGGGGAGGTGAGAGAGCCTGCGGGGTAGGGATGGTCTCCGAAGAACCACAAACCTGCTTCTAGCGCAAGATGACCAGCATTGAGAAACAGCCGCGCCCAGAGAGTGCCAGAGCCAGGCGGCGATGGCAGCACTCAGATAGGACTGCCCTGGTTCAAGCCAGCAGCCAGCAGGACTGCACCTGTCCCAGGCAGGGGCCCCAATCTGCTCTAGGGCTGAGCTGGGGTGGGGGAGACGCCCTAAATAAAGTTGGAGTTTTTCTTTTTTTAATATATTTTATTGACTTGTTTACAGAGAGGAAGGGAGTGGGATAGAGAGTTAGAAACATCAATGAGAGAGAAATGTCGATCAGCTGCCTCCTGGGGATGTGCCCGCAACCAAGGTACATGCCCTTGACCAGAATTGAACCTGGGACCCTTTCAGTCCACAGGCTGACACTCTATCCACTGAGCCAAACCGGTTAGGGTGTGTTGGAGTTTTTCAGTGACACTAGATGGATCAGGCGTCTTCAAACTACAGCCCGCGGGCCACATGCGGCCCGCAGAAGAGTCTGATCCGGCCCGCCAGGTTTTTTGGGCAGTGAGCGCAGCCGAGGTGTTACAGTAGGAATTAGTAGTTCATATAGTCCGGCCCTCCAGCTCTCTGAGGGACCGTGATCTGGCCCCCACTTTAAAAAGTTTGAGGACCCCTGCAAGTTTGGAGGAAGATGTTATTGGTTACCTGTCAGCGATGGGGAACACCCTCTCAGGCCTTTCACCGAAGCCAGAGATTTCCCCAAGAGACAAGGAAGAGGCAGATGGGAGAGCCCCTTGCAGGGGCAATGCGGGGAGTGACAGAACTGCTTTCCCTTTGCCGTCTAGCAAGTCCGGCTCATCAATGGTCAGTGTGGTGTCTTTTATTTAAGAAAAGGACAATATCACTGGGAGGAAACCAAAATGAACAAAAGCGGTTTTCAATAAGGAGAAGGAAGAGACTGGATTGGAAACTAGATTCCTCTAGAAGTATCTTATTTCATGGTTTTGACTCTGGATCCAGCAAAATGTCTTCCGTAACCATGAAATAAAGTTAAATTTTTAAAAAATTAAATTAATATTT